CTCCTCTTCCCTTCCCTCCTCTCCCTCCTGTCCTCCTCTTCCTCTCCTCCACAAACCGCCGCGGTCCCTCTTCCCCTCCCGACCTGCCTTACACGCCCCTTCCTTCATATTTCAAGCAAACGTCTCGGGCCAACTCTCGTTCTCGCCCTCCTGTCTTCGGATTCAAGGTCGCACTCGACGCTGGGTATTGATCTCTCGAGGTCTACGTTTCTGGGACACTTTCCTCGGATTGTCCGCGCCCTCGGTGTACGCTCTGTGAGGGAGGTTGACGGCCGACCGTGGCGAGAGCGATCGATAAAAACTCGTCTTTCCTTATTATTTTTCCTTGGTTGTTTGGTTGGTCTGTTGTTTCTGTTGTTTCTTTATTCTTTGTATTGCTCCTCTGATGTCGTTAGTGTTTTAATTGCTACCTCTTTTTTGTAATTTTTTCATTCTCTTCTTCCTCCTCGTCGTTCTTCCTCGACTTCATCTTTGACCACTTCTTCTCTCTCCTCCTTCCTCTCTCCCTGATTGGATTTTTAAACCTAAAGGAATCTTTCAACAAAAGCCTATACTAAAATGACCATTTTTTAGGGCAGCCATGCATCGTCTCGCTGGCCCCACCTGCTCTCTGCGCGCGGCCCGATAGAATTCGTTAAAACACGCCATTGCTCGTCCGTTAGAGTGAGCAACGTGGCGCAAATTGCTGGCGCTTAGAAATGTTTAGTGTTCATATTGGTGGACTTGAAGAGTGGAGAAATGTAAAAAAAAAAAAATCTATAGTACATTTATATTGATTTATTGGAGAGAGGAAACATTTTGGAATGTATGGTATACTTGTATTTGTTTTATTTGAGAGGGGAAATATAAGAATAGAAATATAGGTGTTTAGTATGTTTATTTTGATTTATCTAAGGTGAGAAATATGGAAATGTATAGTTTATGCACATTGATTCATTTAAGAGAGGAGAAATGTAGAAGGGAAAAAATGTAGGAGTGGCAATGATACGATTCAATTGTGCGAGGTTAAATAACGGAATTACGTAATTCTGGTGCAGTTCTAATATCGAAATGGCAATTACTTATTCGCAGTTACGGATTTTTTTATTTGGATTTCGTTCTTGCCGTCTCTACTCTTGCCGCAATACATTTATACATTTGTCACTTTTTTTGCTCACAACCCCTACATTTGTGACTATATGTTGCATTTGCTGCATTTGTTAGAAATTCTTTATTTTTCTCGATTTCTATAACTTTACATCTACATCTTTAGATCTTTTACTTTATTAAATTTTCTACATGTTACAAGTTCCTTAATCTCCATGTATCACAACGGAGACGAGAGGCGACGGAGAGAGCCGGAGAGAGAGAAGAGAGAGAAGAGAGAGAGAGAGAAGAGACGAGAGAGAGAGAGAGAGACGAGAGAGAGAGAGAGAGAGAGAGAGAGAGAGAGAGGGGGGGGAGGGAGAGAACCTCAATACCGGAACGTCAGGCTGTAAAAAAATGAGGCCTTGTTAGATATGCAAATGAGGGCGCATCGGCTGGTAAAAAGCGGGGGGGGGGGGCGTATGGTTATATTCCCGCGGGAATTGTTGGTTTAATGTCGACGATTCCTTGATCTCGGGAATGCTTTGCGATGAAAGCCGCTTCGTTCGGTGGGATTGAGGACAAATAAACGGTCTTTTTAGGTGATCATGTGTCCCCGATGGATAGATGTCAAGGATCGATAGTGACTTAAAAGAAAGCTTGTATACTTTACTGTCTGGCTTCAGTGTTGCTTGTACAGGTGTCGCGAAACGTTTTGATCTTGTACAAGTGTCTCGAAACGTTTTGTTGACGAAGCGGTCCTTGTTGTGTGCTTTATCGTTTACATTTTTTTCGCTTATGTTTATTTATTTATTTATTATTTTTAGATAAGTGTTTATGTACAAATATTTTCTTCGTTTTTTATGCAAATCTCGTGTTCTTTAGTTGCAAACAGCTACGATACACTCTGGACCGAATCAAGTGAGCGATAAGCTATAATTGATTAACCACTGGATAAGGAGAAATCAGTGACTTGTGCGAAAGAGGCAAAGATGCTGGCGTCACCAAAGCAAGTGAGGTAAGACCAGATTGCCCCCGCATTTCGTTTACCTTTTCTTTTACAGTGCATGGCCTCCCTTTCTTTAGCTCTTAGACACCCCCTTGGCTTGATTCCCCTGATTCCCCGAGTCTGTAGTTCGCGCGCTTGTTTATTAGTGCGCGCGCGAAAAGGCATGCAACCCTATGTGTTCTAGTGATAAGAAAAGTGCGTCCATGGGAGGAAAGGGCTATTAGCCAGAGCTGATACCGACCGAGGACTGAAACTGGGCGAGGACATGCAAGTGTGTGAGGATCTAAATTTATTGGTTAAGGACCTCAGATTGGGCAAGGACATTGAAACGTGTGAGGATTAGAATTATTGGTTAAGGACCTCAGATTGGGCAAGGACCAAAAAGTGGGCAAAGGACATTGAAACAGGACCAAAAAAGGGGCGAGGACATTGAAACGTGTGAGGATTAGAATTATTGGTCAAGGGCCCCAGATTAGGCGAGGACCTCTAAACTACCAGAGGAATCTAAAACTTGTCGCGGACCTCCTAAAACTGGGCGAATCCCTGAACTCGAGATGCTGAAACGGCCACGGGTGAAGGACAAGGGTTGGGGAGGGGTCGGGGGGGGGGGGGCAAACACGTCTCTCATAATGAGCGTCAAGGAAGCTAATTCAGTGAGGTAAATGAGGGAACAACAGAGTGCGCTGGCTGTCGGCTGTCACGTTAAGCCGATGGATGTTATTGCGGGGAAGCCACAGACTGACTGGTGCGGGCGTGGGATTTTTATTGTTCTGTGAGGATGGAGGGCCAAGGAGAGAGAGGAGGAGGAGGAGAGGGAATGAGGAGGGAGGAGGAAAGAGAGAGAGAGAGAGGGAGGAGAAGAGGAAGTGAGGAGGGGAAGGGAGGGGAGAGAGAGAGAGAGATAGAAGGGGAGGGAGAGATGGGAGGTTTATGAAAGAAGAGAGAAGAAGGAAGGAGGAAGGGAGAGGGAACGGAGAGAACGGAGTAGGTAGAAAGAGAGGAGAGGAGGGAAAGGAGGAGGAGACGATTGGGATAGGAGGCAGAGAGAGGATTAGGAGGGTGAAGGCAAGAGAGGAGAGGGATTAGGGAGGTTCAGAGAACGGAAAAAAAACATAGGAGGAGAAGGATGGGGATGAGGGCATAGTGACAGGGATAAGAGAGTATAAGGAAGAGGAAGAAGAGACATCAGGAGAAGTAGGGACCGTATGTAGAGAAAAAAAATCGGGGGGGGGGGGGGGTACCACAGCTGGAAGGGAATGAACAGGTGGTGTAGTTGCGCGCAAGATAAGGCGAAGAAATTAAAAAGCGAATTAAAACTTTGCGTGAATTTTAAATCGGAGATGTTATGCATTGGCGTGCAACACACATCCCTGTAGGCCATAACCGCAAGGGAAGAAGCCGCGCCCGCGCTGTTGCGAGGTGCCTGGCCCTACGCGCCATGCATGTTTTGCTGGCTGCCGCGCGTGAGCGTGGAGAAAAGATTGCATGCTGAATTACCAGCTGACCCGCGGATGGAATAGCGAGTGGGGTCGGTATGGGGGACACGCATGCTCGCGGACAGTTTATTTTTTTTATACTTATTTTAGGAGCGTTTCGGTAAAGGGGAAGGAACCACATTCACTACCTGGCCTCTCGTTCCCACACAGACATATGTGCACATACATACACGTGCACACGCGCGTAAATACATATACTTAACTCACTCTCTCCCACTACTCAAGTCTTACAATGTTAGTATTAGCTTTCCTTTAGCTGGCATGTGCATACGAATTATTCTTCTGTTTTGTTGCGTCTCTCGTTCGTTTGTATTTTTCGGTGTAGCAAGTACAGTTAGTGTAAGTTGACATACCATTATCTTCTTTCCTTGCCTAAGAAAACACCTTTATGGCTCTCGCCTTTCTGTTCTCTGTTTCGGAGAAAAGGTCGTGCTGTGTCGACCTGAGGAATGTAAGCTTGTTCGAATATTGATATTGAGAGTTGATAGAGCGATAGAGGACAGGCCACGCCTTTTCCCTGGCAAAGGATATATTTTTTATGTTTTATTGATTTTCCCCTTTGCTTTGGTATTCCATTAAGCCTTGCATCCGTTATTCACTGGCTTTGAATACATTTTGCTCTAAGTAGTTTGTGCTGACCGAATGAAAGTAATATTCCTCGATGAGTGTATAGGCCTACGCAAAAATGGGTATCAGCAAGCGTAACATTATAACTTAGGATGCGCAATATTTTTTTCTTTATTTTTCGAAGGAGGGATGAAAGGCTATACAAGAAAGGAGAAATTACCTTTGAGGTTATTAACTAATTAATTGTCAATAAACTAAAATCACTTGTTAGGCCACCTTTTTCTTCTCTTTCAGAGCTTTCATCGAAGCGATCCTTTGTTATTAATTTCGTGTTAAGAACCTAGCACTTACTTTTCCTAGGGAAGGAGAATTTGTCAAATAGATTCTGAATAATAGAATTCTGTCCGGCAATGGGCGCTATTTTTGCACAGAACTATGACGTCAGCTCTTTGGGTTGCGCGTCGGGAACTTGCATGTGGAAGTAGATGTAAACACAAGTGCGGGCATGTTAAACATAGGAATAAAAGTTTGAGCATGCACGCAAACGTACACGCACGCGCACACACTGGCGTACACGTACACTTGCGCGCACACGCACACGCACACGCACACACACACTCTCACTCTCACATGCTCACACACGCACATTCACATTTATTGTTTATTCATACATTTCACATAAAAAACTAGCGACTGTATATAAAAAAATATTTTTTCTCGTTTCTCCCGTGCGACTGACCTCTCATCCACCTCAACCAAGAGGCTACAGCAGCATCTCATTTCCTCTTATTTTGTTTATTTATTTATTCATTCATTCATTATTATTTTTTGTGTAATTCCCCCCCCTTTTTTGGGCCTTGCAGACGCGACTGGGAAGCTGGAGAAGTGGGTTCGCTCATCGGCAGAGGACTTATCGACGAGATGGAGAACGAATCTCGTAACATCCGCTTCTTCACCAAACTCTACACCTTCGCCCAGATGCTCGGTGAGTTGGGAGGGGAGTGGGGGAGGGTGGGGAGGGGGTGGGAGGTAGGAGGAGTAGAGGGGGAAGGGGAGGACAGGGTAGGTAGTTTTCTTCTTCCTCCTCCTCCTTCTCACGCCATGCACAATGCGCGTATTTCAAGACTCCCCCCCGTGTAGTACCTCTAATCAAGGTCTATATAAGTACTTATATAGACCTTGCGTCTAATGGCCCGTAGAGCCTTGCATATAGAGTATCCAAAATGTGGAATTCCATAAATGATGAACTAAGGCTTTCTCCAGCTGTGAATCACTTCAGACGTGCAAAAGCTAACCAAAGGATACGAGGACAAACCCGTCTTTCCTTCTTAGTGGCTAAGCAATGCTGTGTTAACGCTTATCATCAAGTATAACACATGCATGACATGTTTTAAATGTATGACATCTTTGTGACGTACGTATATATTACATTAATTATTTAACCATATGTAAAATGCAAATTATGTAATTGTCTATATGCATATGATGGAAAGTGTATAATTATATGTCATACTACACTGTATGTATGAATATATATAATCGTTCATTCGTTTGTGATACTTATACCTCCTAGCAATATATATGTGTGTGTGTGTGTGTGTGTGTGTGTGTGTGTGTGTGTGTGTGTGTGTGTGTGTGTGTGTGTGTGTGTGTGTGTGTGTGTGTGTGTGTGTGTGGAGTGAGAGAGAGAGAGAGAGAGAGAGAGAGAGAGAGAGAGAGAGACCATGCACAGAATATGTGATTTCATTCAACTGTGATATTATTTAAGTATGGACATTTTACTGTAACCTATTGGTTTAACTATATGTCAGCTAGAGAGCCTTAGCTCAGCTGATCATTGTGCTTCAATATATACTTACGTTGTTCTTATTTTCATTGCCAAAAAATACATAAGATGTGTATATATAATTTATTTTTAAAAGGTATCTGTATGAGCTCTCCTGTTTATTTTATCAGGTTCATATATTTTTTTAAGCATCTTGTGTGTGAATTGTACGAATATTACTTGCATGATCTCTCTCGTTTATTTAGAATCTCTACATCAGCGCAATGATGTTTTTAACGATTCCCCTTTCCAGGCATCTTGTGCGTGGTGTTGGTGGGCGTGTGGATCGGAATCTACCGCGGCGGGTTCGGGTGGCAAGCGGAGCCGGCGCTGCAGTTCAACTGGCATCCGTTCCTCATGGTCTTAGGAATGGTATTTCTCTACGCAAATGGTATGCGATTTATTTTATTTATTTAATTTTTTGTGTATGGATTTCTTCATTTTTCTGGAGAGGGTTATGTATTATCTTTTTTTTTTTTTTGAATATTTATATATTTTCTTTTGACTCTTACTTGGACTGTGGTCACACAAGTTCACTGGCCTTGCTTTATACTTGCCTTTGCACTTTTATTAGTATTACTCCAACTTCAATGGAGTAAGTAAAGTTGTGTTTTATAACATTCTAGGAGTATTTACGTTCAGTATTTACACTCGTGCGTAAATAGATTTGGAGTAGTGATTTGGAGGTAAAGGTGTTAATATAATGTACTTGTCTAGTAGAGATTAATAAAATGAATAAACTTTTTTTTATGTTTATACAGTTATTTTTATGAATATGAAAATATGGTGCTCATTTGATTTTGTCTCTTTAATGTGTGTGTGGGGGGTTAAGGGGGTGGGTGTTTGTTTCGAAGGCATTGATGAGTGAGAAAAGTTGTTCCATTATTCACCCACGTCAGTAACTACGCAGCAATGACACGCAGTTGCTTTAGCTCACTCCTTGCCCCTGGATGCCTGCACTTACTCAGTACAAGTGTGCATGTAGCCTTAAGGGAAAGAGATGAATAATGAGTATTAGGAGACATTAAATAATGAAGAAAATAGAGAACAATGAAATAACAAGCACAAGCACACTTATCGATGCAGCACTTGCCTTAACCCAATCCAGAAGAGATTTGGGAATGGATATGAACTTATTTATGTTCAGTTTTATGAATGAATTCCTTTTTTTTGTAGGGGCCCTAGTCTACAGAGGATTCCGATCCGAGAAGAAGAAGAAGCTGAAGATCATCCACACTCTGGTTCAGCTCGGGACCTTCATCTTCTCCGTCGTCGGCATCGTGGCGGTGTTCGACTTCCACAATGCAATGGGCATTCCCAATATGTATAGTCTGCACTCGTGGATCGGCCTGTGTGTGGTTATACTATTCGCCTGTCAGGTACGTTTTTCAATGTCTTGTGATTTGTGTGTGTGTGTGTGTGTGTGTGTGTTTTTTTTTTTTTTTGGGGGGGGGGGTGCTATGGGGATGAATGCAACGTGAATCACAAGAGATAGGTAACAAGTTTATTCTGATTTTGTAGTGGGGCTTACAGTATATATTTGCTTTATTTGCCCGTTTTAGATTTAGTCTTTGTAGCCTTTTATAGTATATAGAAATAGTCTTTTTAAGCTTTATTCATTCATGCATAAATATATACATTGATTATCTTTAATAATTTAAACATTGTGCGAATGTGAACACAATACACTAAATATGTAAAGTACGGAAATATGAGTTTTAACACGTAGTTGTTTCAAAGATCTCAAAAGGATGGTCATGAAAAGAACGATTCGAGTTAACAGGAAATGGATTTATTCAGGAAGTGAAAAGGTTGAAGGGGGAGGTCGCGCCCTTGTACCTGCCTTCGGAAGTACAAATTGATGGTTATCGTTATTGTTGTTGATGCTGATTGTTGTTATTACTAGTAATAATGATAATAACAGTAACAATAATAATAATGATAATATTATCATCAGTGTTGTTATTCCATTAACAATATAATTGACTTCATTATCATTTTTTTTTCTAGAGTCTGATCCATCATTATCATCATCTTTTATTTATAATCTTTTTCACAGTTATGATTGCCACAAAGAATTATGATGAAATAATACTTATTGCTATTACTGTGATGATAGTTATTACTTTTAACTTGGTTAATATGTCACTGTTATCATTTTTATTATTATTATAATTATAATTATTACTATTATTATGAATCATTAATCATTATCATTGATATTGTTCTTTTCATTGTCATTATCGTGAAAAGGGTTTTGCTATATCCCATCTTTCTGAACTTCTTGTGACCATGCTCAAAATATTCCATTTTCATAAATATGTTTTCCATGCATTTATGTATATATGCATATATATTTGTGTATATATATGTATCCCCCAGTGTCCATTAGTTTCAAAACGTTTCACTTTTCGATAGCAATCTCCAGCAGGATCTTGGCTTCTAAATGGTTTAAATAGTTTTGGGTAATTCATATATTGCCCCATGTTTCATGTGTTCCTTCAAAGACAAACCTAAAGTAAAAAAGTATTCATATCAACTACCTTGGAATTCAAGATCTTGCTAAAGAAATAAAGTATATGTATCTATTTTGCCAGTTGTCAAAGGTACTGTAAATAACATACACATGGTAAATTTTACTATATAAAATAGCAGTTTGAACACGTATGCATTACACACATTTCTCTTTCAGTGGTTGTCGGGCCTTCTGACGTTCCTTTTCCCAGGCTTGCGACCTTCTGTTAGGGCTGCTTATTTGCCTGTACATCAGTTTTTTGGACTTGCAATATTTATTGGCTCAGTAGCTTCCTGTCTTTTAGGCTTGACAGAAAAGGCATTCTTTTCAATGTAAGTATTTGATGCTCAAACAATTTAGTGTAGGCTTTATGGTATGACAGTTGTATTGATACACTCCAGATATTCAGTCATAATGTAAGGATTGTAATTTTAGCTGTAAATTAGAAATATAGATGCATTTGAATCCACACTTTTTTAAATGCCATTTATTTTTTCTGTTAAATAACATGACACATTTTTTCCAGGCCAGTCTCAAACCCAAAAGGATACAACCACTTCCCACCTGAGGGGATCTTAATCAACGTCATTGGCATTTTGCTGATTTTCTTCGCTGGGTTGGTGGTGTATCTGATGTCCAACTCGCAGTTTCGCCGGCAGACTTCTGAAGATGAGGTGTTACTCACAGACACTGTTCTTGAGTAACTGCGCTTTTACTAAGTCTTTAAAAGGCCATATTATTAAAGAAGCTTAATCAGTAGGTTAGAAGTTAAGGCGATAATCCCTGTATGGCAAAGTATTCAGATTTTGTGTTCATATTGGTGTAGGTGTTTTGGGAAGGCGTCATATATTTCATTTCAGAGTTTAGCAAAATAAAAATATTTAATCACAACATTCATCTTATAACACTTAATCAACAAAGAAAAAGGAACAATGTAGTTGTTTTGTAAGGTGATTGTTATTTTTACATTTGAGAAATGTCACTATAATACTTAACAGTAGAATATTAGTTGTTAAACATTATTTTTGCAAGTAACTTTATCATCTTATTTGAATGCGCAGAAATAAAGGGTAGATATATAGTAGACATTTTAGGTGTATGTATGTATGTATGTGTATGTATATGTGTGTGTGTATGTGTATGTATATATATATATATATATATATATATATATATATATATATATATATATATATATATATATATATATATATATATATATAAATGTGTGTGTGTGTGTGTGTGAATTTGTAATGCCCATACATACAATGAAAAAAATATTTTGTCAGTTATTGAATCTCCTTTCATTGATCACTTGGCCAGTGTGAATATATATATGAAGGAGTTTTTTCCTCTCTTCCTGTCTTCAAACATTTCATTCATTAAGATTCTCAATTTTTTGATCCACTAAGGATCGGATTCATCGCATCTTTTGCCCGTTTAAAAAATCTTCAGACAATTATAGTCTTACTCAATATCTATTATTTTATCTTTCTGTTGTTGCTTTAAGTTTTCTGTTCATTTTTGTTGTTTTAAGTTCTCAGTTAATTTATGGTGCTATCAACATACTTTCCAGTATTAAAGGGTCTTTATCTCTTGTACATTTGTATTGTTATCATTAATTCAAGTATCTTTATTGTCACGTTTATTTTTTGTATAATTCTGGCAAAGGAAGCATTGCATATCAAAAAAATCAGCAATTGCTACTCCAAGCAATTATATTTTTATATTGAAAATTAGCAGATTTATTTTAGCATTAGAACTGAAAAAAAAGAACAAGCTATACAAAACGAGTATACAATAAAAACCATATTAAACGAACTGCAATGACCAGAAAACACAATACTGAAGGGAAGGGGACACAAGGAGATATTTGAAAATGTTTAAATGCTGTTTCAGACTTTGCCTGTAACTGAGTACTGACACCTGCATTGGAGCCAGAGAACTGCATGCCATCCATTGTTCTGTCTGCTGTATTGTCATGTTCATAGTTTCCTAAAATGTTATCATTATTATCATTGATATTCTTAGTTATTATTATTATTAATGTTATCGATATTGATGATATCGTTATCAATATTAAGAATATTGTTATTATTCTTATATCATTATTATTATTCCTGTGCCTGTGGCTGTTATTATTATTACTACTATTTCTATTACTGCTGGTAAGGTACTACTACTATAACTGTTATTACTGTTATTATCACTATTATTAGTATTGTTTTGGTCTAATGTTTTCTATGCAGTGTGGTTCCCACTTGTGTTATTTGAAAAAGGTTTCAATTTTCTTATGCAAATATATTTAGTACTGTGTAAACCAATGATTATTAATATAATACACAAGACCAGTCTTGTGGGAAACCGTATTAGAATCCTTACTTTTTTATGAATCAATTAAGTAAAAGATGTAAAGATTTTGCTGCTACTATGAATGAAAAGGCATAAAAAATTCCCTCATCCTCAAAGAATGATCATATATATGTACGGAGGGGATAGTAACTAAAAATGAAAGCAAACATTCTTCAAAGGATTTACTCAAAATAGTAGGTATTCAGCCTTTCCTTTCTATTTAATTTCAATCACATTGAATGAAGTTCTGCATATAGTTTTAAAGAGCTCGGATATAACACACAATGTTATGTACAGTAGCAAATATTTATGTATCCTGAATGTTACTAACTAAATATCTTTTTTAGACAGGCTACTATAAAGGCCAATGTATTATTCCTGTAGTGAGTGAAATACAGTAACTAGATTGTAATTTTAAAGTAATTATAATTTTAATAGAACCGTCTTTCAGGCTGTATTTTAGGGAACAAAGTGAGTGTGTGATAACCAGAATATTACATAACAGAGTATTGTGAAGTATGAATAGAAAAGGAGGTTTATTGTGCCTAAAGATATATTTTAAATGGTTGTAGTTTGTCATTAAACACTAAAGGTCACATGCAAAAGATAACATTATGTAGACTAATGTAGTTTCTGTTTATTATTTATGTCCTATTGTGATTCAATACTAAATGTGTACTTTTTCCATAGTGAGCTGTATTTTTTTTTCTTTCCTTTTAAAGGTATATATTTCTAAAATACATATAAATTCACCTTCATTCTCATAGATGTTGAAAATTACATGTGCATGCCATAAAGTATATGTTGATTCCAGAGCTGTATATTATTTAAACCTTATCAAAAGAAAAAAAATACATATACATACAGTGCACATACACAGAAATCCCCCCCAATCCCTTGCCCGTTGTTGTCGTGGGGGGGCTTAGGAGACGAAGACGGACCCAATACAGGGATCTCCCCTGCCTAGGACCTCAGCCCTCGACTCAACTAATTTTGCATGGTCTTTTTTTTCTCCAGCTTTTGTTTCCGTCTCTTCTCCATCCCCTTCTGCTATCTACTTCCTAAGGTGTGAGAGCCGTGCTGAGAGGATGAAAGGCTGACCTAGTGCCAGTCCTGAACGGCCTGCGGGAACTATGGGCACGGTACTCCTGACTAATCTAGCCCTTACCTTCAGTAGCAAAAGGAGGTGGACCGAATAGGCCTATTTACATAATCCAGGTTCCCCATGACCAGTAATGAGAATGTAATCCCTTTATTAGAGGCTATAAGGCTAGCCCCTTTATAAAATAGCCCCAACCCAGGCTCTCCTTTGACCACGGCTCCGAACACTGAAACTACTGCCTACTCCTCAATGCCTACTAGTACATTACCCACCCAAGCAGAGAATCAATCTCCAGAAGACATTCCTACCCACCCAACTTCCCCAAATCCAACTCCACCCCTGCAACCTTCATCAAACAACCAATCCTCCCTTATTACTACCTTGCAACCTTATTCTCCATCATTCCGTAATACTCCCTCTTCCACACGTCCCGACTATCCACCACCACCAACCCTACAGATATCTTAAATACTAATACTCTGTTTAGCCCAGCTAAATGGGACCGATTTTTCGTGATCCCTGCTACAGCTCCTTACTCAGACAACACTCTTCTCTTTCAACAATGCCTCCAAAAACAAGTAGGTAGAGTCCCTTTCTATACCAGACGCGATCGCTCCCGTCTGGTAACAGTCAGATCAGAAACTGAATCTATAGCACTGTCAAATTTAACTGATCATTCTGGCAACCCCATTCCTGCAGAACCTCATCCAACCCTTAATACCTGTACCGGAACTGTCTCTCTCTCCCCAGCAAACTGCCCAGTCGATACCAAAGATTGGTCAGACTGTGGAGGACTTATTAGGATGCCTCAAAGACCAAGATGTGAAATCAGTACATTGCTACACCATTCCTCCTAAAGGTCAACGAAAGAATCCGACAATTGCCAAAATTACCTTCTGTACACATGACCTTCCCTTACGTATCTACATTGGTGGACAATCCCTCCCTGTTCGACCATACCAACCCCCTCCACGTCAATGTCAAAACTGTTGGCGCTTTGGACATCCTGCCAAACATTGCCGTTCCACAGACCGATGCCCCATATGTGCCCAACCTGGTCATAATCGATCAAACTGCTCAGCACAAACACGAACATGTGCTAACTGCGGCGGCCCCCATAATGTATTTTATAGAGGCTGTCCCACTTACAAATTTGAATCTGAGGTAGCAACTCTCAGATACAAAAATGGCCTCACTTTACGTGAAGCCAGACAGGAAGCACGTCGACAAGGTTTCTCTCATACTCCATATTCTAGCAACATCGTTCACTCAGCCCTTCCCCCTCCACCCAAAAATGTCCCCATTTCCACTTCTACAGTCTACATCCCTCAGACCAATTCCTTTGCCACTCTAAACCCAGACACCCCAATCTCAACCACAGCTCCTATCTCAACTACAGCCCCAACACCAACCCCTCTCCCTCCCCGCACTACCCGCAGTAGACAGACTAAACGTTCTAACCCTTCTACCCCTACAGCACAATCACCTCCACCTACCTATACCTTTGTTCCTGAGACACCAGTCTCCTCTTCCCCCCTCATAAGAAAACCTTTATTCCACAAAACTCTCCAATTCCATTGCAGAAACAATTACCTTCTCACAAACTCTCCAACAAACTCCACTGCAGAAACAATGGATGACATTCAAAGCTATATGCTTGAGACACAAAATCCCATAACTCATGCTCCTTCCACACTTGAAGTGGTTGCCGATATTCATAACCCTCCTACTAATATTCCCCCTACACCCCTTCCTCCTACTCCCTCCCAACACAACCTAACCCCCTCAATCCCAACCTGATATCCATCCTCCCAATACCCATCCTCCTGATATACATCCCCCTCTTACTCACAGCACCCCTACACCCTTTCCTCCTAATCCCTCCCAAGACAACACATCCCCTACAACTCCAACTATCCATCCTTCTGATATTCATCTTCCTAACACTAATACTCCCCACACATCTACTCCCTCCCAACACAACCCACCCCTTCAACCCCAACTATAGGCACATTCTCCCTCCCTCCATCCCCTCTATCCTTTGCACTCCCTCCAGGATACACACGAGAATCACTCATGGCACAACAATGCCCTTCTCCAGACTCCCTACCTCCTAATATCCCTCCTTTACACCCCCTAGCTCCTTCCCCTTCAAATTCCCCAACACGTAAATGTGTTATCATTCATAAATCAACTAGGATATAGCTCTCCTACATTGGAATATTCGCGGTTTCCGCTCTCATAGATCAGACCTACGTCATATCCTTGCTTCTTATAATCCATCTATTATCTGCCTCCAAGAGACTTTCCTCACACACCCTCCTATTCCAATTCCTAATTACCATTTTATCTCTTCCCCACACTCCCTTTATGTCTCGTCTATACTTATCCATCATAAAACACCTTATGTCATACCTCCCATACAAACTTCTGTCCCGTGCACAGCTATTCGCATCTTTCTTCGCCGCTGGATCACTGTGATTTCAGTCTACTTCTCCCCATCCCATCCCATTGACTTTACTGCCTTTGAGACTCTAATTTCCTAACTCCAACCACCTTTCCTCATAGTTGGTGATTTCAACTGCCGCCACACTCTCTGGGGTGACTCTACCACCAACTCCCGAGGCCGATCTCTAGAACGCTTCCTCTTCACAAATAACCTAATTACTTAATTCAGATCGCCCCACACACTGACACCACATGGCGATACCATATCCTCCAACAATTGTCCTCCCTAGGTTTACGTGGAAACATGGGTGTTTTCATTAAATCCTTCCTTTCTAAACATACTTTCCAGGTCAAGATTGCCTCTTCCACTTCATCATCCTTTCCTCAATTCGAAGGCGTCCCACAAGGAAGTGTGCTTAGTACCACTTTATTCCTTCTTGCTGTAAATGACATAGTCTCAGTCCTACCACCAGGAGCCAGAGCATCACTATATGTTGATGACAAACCATCTATGCATCTGGCACATCCATACCAGATCTCTGTCAATTCCTTCAGTCTGCAATAACATCAGTAACTTCTTGGGCCACCAACCATGGCTTTCGCTTCTCTACCTCCCCCACTCTTCTTATATAATGCTCCACTCCAATACCGGTCTTCTGGCAAATTCCTAGGCGTTATATTTGATTCCAAATTGTCCTGGCGAGACCATATCTTGTATATCAAAGAAAAAGCTCAACGTCGCCTCCGAATCTTACAAACGCTTTCACATATCTCCTGGGGCTCAGATCGCAAAACTCTCCTCCATCTTCATGTTACTTTGATTCTCTCCACTCTAGATTATGGATGCCATATCTACTCCTCTGCCTCAACCTCTCTTCTTGCTCACCTTGATACAGTCCACCACAGCGGTCTCCGCTTAGCCCTAGGCGCCTTCCGCTCCTCTCCAGTTGAGAGCCTATATACTGAATCAGGCATGCCGTCCCTCTCTCGACGTCGAGCCCTTCTCTCTCTCCGATGCTATGCTCGATTTCACCAATTTTCCCTTACCAAACTAACTATTCCACAATCCTTACTTCATACCTTTACCTCTTCTCCACGTTTACCAACTCCTCTCCCCGTACACATGGATACCCTCCTCTCCCATTCCCCCTTCCCTCATCTCCGACCTCTCCCACTGTCTGTCCATTCCATTCCTCCATGGCTTATACCTAACCCCTGTATTTGCTCCTCAGTTTTCCCTGACCCACCAAAATCAGATATTCCCCCCTCTATCCTTCCCGCTCATTTCCTTGACCATGTCTCCATTCATTCCTCCAGCATTCATGTTTACACTGACGGTTCCAAATCCATCTCAGGAGCTGGATTCGCAGTAACATTCCCAAATTGCACTTTCAAATACACCCTCCCTCCTGAATCTAGTGTCCTTACTACAGAACTATATGCACTCCTTTTTGCCTTAAGACGCATATATTCATCCACCTCTTCCTCTTTTACTATTTTTACTGACTCCCGTAATTCTTTAACCCTCATAAAGTCAATACAGTCGACCAATCCCCTTGTCTGTAAGATCCAGAACTGGTTGTTCTATCTATCCACACGTCAAATCTGTCAGATTTTGCTGGGTACCCAGCCATGTTGGAATCCCTGGCAATGAACAGGCAGATACTCTTGCACGATATGCCGCAATGTCCACATCACCTCAACAACGCTTCTCACTTATTCCAGCTACAGATTACTACCCCCACTTTAAGACTTTCTTGTATACCCGATGGCAATCTTTTTGGTCAAGACTCCACAACAATAAATTACATACCGTAAAACCATCAATCTCCTCTTGGTCAGCTCCATTTCACAAAAACAGACGTTGGGAGACTGCCCTCGCACGATTACGTATTGGCCACACTCGCCTAACACATGCCTATCTGATGTCACGCTCAGACCCGCCCCTATGTCCTCTATGTAACATCCCACTTTCAGTCCCACACATTCTCTTGTCCTGTCCACGTTTTAATACAGCACGTACCTCTGCTTTTCCACACCTATCCTCCCTTCACCGACGTCCCAACATATCAGACATCCTTACAGAATCTCACAGCTTCTGCCTCGACAACCTGTTCTCCTTCCTCAGACACATAAATATCCTTCACTTGATCTAACTCCCTTACCTAAACCACCATAATCTTTTCCCTCATCCTCAACCTCTCAACACTATTCTAGATAGTTGACACATAACAACTGTCACCTGACATCCCTCTTTACTATA